TGGGGTTGTTAACCAATGTCATAAAACAGCATGTGTGTTACTGTTACATGAGAAACTATCTGTTCTGTAAGCCTTCACCTGAAGTACAATAAATATTAAAAAAAAAAAAAAAAGTTTGGAGACCAGGGATATAGTGTCGGTGTGATTAATGTCATGGGAGAGTGTTGGTTGAGTGCTGAGAAGCCTGGGGAGGGCTCCAACCTGAGGAGGCATCTTGGAGGCTTCCTGAAGCCCAAGACAAAGCTTGAAAGATTAGGAATAGGAAGGAGTTGTCAGGGAAAAAAAGGTGGGGTGGGCACCCGGAAAGAGAACAGCAGAGCAAAGGTAGGAAATGGCTTGGTGTGTTCAAAGGTCTAGCACTAGGAGCTGTTGTTAGGGGCCCTCAGGTCGATTTCAACTCATAGCGACCCCATGTATAACAGAACAAAATGTTGCCTGGCCCTGTGCCATCCTAACAATAGGAGGTATGTTTGAGCCCATTGTTGCAGCCACGGTGTTAATCCGTCTCATAGAAGATCTGCCTCTTTTTCACTCACTCGTCTATGCCAAGAAATTTGGAAGACAGCTAGCTGGCCAACCAACTGGAAGAGATCCATATTTATGCTCATTCCAAAGAAAGGTGATCCAATGGAATGTGGAAATTATCGAGCAATATCATTAATATCGCATGCAAGCAAAATTGTGCTGAAGGTAATTAAAAAATGGCTGCAGTGGGTACAGCCACAGGGAACTGCCAGAAATTCAAGTGGGATTCAGAAGAGGACTTGGAACAAGTGCTAGAAGGGAGATGGTCATTTCCAGCGTGGGTCAGCCCTGAGTCCAAGCCCTGAGCTCAAGCCCTGAGCTCAGCCACTTACAAGTTACTTAGCTTCTCTGAGCCCCAGTTTCCTCATTTATAAAACGGGTTTGATAGTAGTATCAGCCTGGTAGGGATGTTGTGCAGATTAAACGAGATGATGGGTAGAAAGCTGCATACAGTAAGTGCTCAATAATTGGTAATTATATGCCCTTTTCCAGAGCACATCCATTTTATCTCTGTTTCCCTAGCAGGTACAACACAGCTTGACATATGATCAGAGCTCAGTTTTGAACGAGTGAATGAATGCATTCTTTATTTCATTTGATTCTGATGAGGTGTGCAGTGCAGGCTAGAGATTATTATTTCCATTTTACAGGTGAAGAAATTGAGGCTCAGGGAGGTGAAGTGACTTACTGTCAGTCAGATAGAAAAGTTTGCTGAGCTAGGGCTTATATCCAAATCTGTTATCTGTCAGAGATTTACTACTAACCCTTGCATATGTTATACAGTCATAAGGATTAGAGATGAGTTTGAAGGAGTTGGTCATGCTTTATGTCTTCCTTCACTTTATTGGTCCACCTAATACAGATTTGCCATAATTAATCTTTCTAAAATACTACTTCCTGAGTTAACACTTGTGCTCAAACACATTCATTGGCTCCCTACTACCTAAGGACCAAGTTTAAATGTGCTGGGTTGGCATTCAAGGCTCTCTCTGATGTACCCCTAATTGGCCTTTCTAACTACTGGGTTGTCCCAGACCCTACTCTTCATCCAGCCCCATGGATTTCCTTGCCGCCCTTACATTTTCTCTCTTTCTGCCTTTGTTCAAGTTTCCTCCTGGAATGTCTTCTCTATGAGAGGAAACCTATTCATATCTAAACAATCCTCAAGTCCCCAACGCCAAGATTCCCCAGTGCTCCTCTGCCTCTGAACGTATAATAATGATAGCATTTATTGACCACCTACTGTGTGCCAGGCCCCTTGCTTCCATTCTCTCTACCCTGTCAACAATAATGATGAGGTGCATGTTAACATCCTGATTCTAAAGATGAGGAAACTTGAGGCTCAGAGAGTGTCAACGAATATTTCCTGAGCACCTACTACGTGTCAAGCACTATGCTAAGCACTGATCATACAGCGATGGACAAAACAACCTGGTCCCCACCCTCATGGAGCTTACATTCTTACATGAACATGAACGCACAAATTGTTACAACAATCTCACTATTGTTACTTGTAATAAATGCCAAGAAAGAAAAGAGCTGGATCCCATGAGAGAGGTGGGTTCTAGTCTGGATCTAGAGGACTGACGAGGTTGCCTGAGGAGGAGAGAGTATTTAAGCTGAGACTTGAAGGTTCCAGAAACTAGGAAAATTTGAGTGTTCCAGGGCACGAGGCACAGCAAGTGCAGAATGTTTCCAGGCAGCAAAGAACTCGGCACGTTGGAGCAGCGCTGCCCCGAGGCCAGGGCAAGGAGGGCCTGCCCAAGACCTGCACTTCAGAGGGCTCCTGAGGATCTCAAACTCCAGACAAATACAGTGCTAAGAACCCCAGGGTATCTGTCTCACCTCAGGGCCTGGGCTCAGCACTGGCTCAGCAGGACTGTAAACCTGAACATCCACGTTCTAACACTGCTCAGGCCCCAGGGAACCCTTCTTCATATCTCTCCTCATCTGCCCTCAAAACCAGAGGTGTCTGTACCTGGATGTGGGAGAGATGCGTGGGCTGAGTTGCTGCCGATGTCAGAGATGGATGCTGCTTTGGTGTGTCGGGGGGATTTGAAGCTCTGAGGAAGTGAAAGAAAAGATAAATTAATTTCTCAGCTCTCTCCTCTCAGGTTGCATGGGTGTGACAGATTCGTGCGTAACAAAATGTCCATTTTCTTCTTTCCCTGCTCCAAAGTTTCTCATGAACTAGCACAGTATTCATAAGAGTTGCACTGGCAGCTAAGGAACAATTTACAATATTAAATAATTCATATTACTGTTAAATTTGCACATAAACATAGGTCTGGACATAACATGTGTAAAGCATGACAGCAATTCTTTATATTAGCAACTCATGAGATATTGGACACTATTTTGCAAACAGTTCTATTTTTCTAAAACTAAGAAGAGAGAATAAAAATTTCAAAAACCATTTAAATTTGATGAAAAATTTGACATTTATTTATTATAAATTGAACTTTGCTTTAATTTTAATGCATAATTAAAATTTTAAATCTATTAGAAGGTCACTTTTGAAAACATGACAAATAATTTTAATGTTTTGAGTTTTTTACTTACGTTAGTGACTTTTTGAGAAAAATGTATTCAAATTTTGTACACTTTGATGGCAAGTACATTTTTCTTTTATATCCTTACAGTTACCTGTTTATCATAGCCAGAAAGGTTACAAGTGAAGAGACACATTAGGCAAGGTCTGAGAGAGTTCCTGACACGGGATCTCCGCTGCCCCCAGGGACGTGCTACTCTCTCCCATTCATAGATGTTCTCACCAATCCAGGTGCCCCAAAGAGTGCAATTACAATTTTTAAAAAAAAATCCTTCGAGAATGAGTGCGGGTTGAAATCATGATAGAAATAGAAAATAAAATAGCGGAACTCAGAAAAGAGAAAAAAGTTAACAGAAGAAATAAATGCAAGTTCTGTCATTATGAAGCCAATTTGTCAAGGTAGAGTGGTGGAACGTGCTTTGACTAATAGTTTAAGAGTTTGATTATATGATATGTGGGCCTCCATTTGCTCCCAGTGTC